CCACGGTGATTCTTAGAAGATAAACAGTAACAACTGGAGGAAGCAAGTGCCAGAAATTCAAAAACTCTTGAACAAACAAAATAATAATCTAAATGATCCATGAATTTCATGAGTTTTATGCTAGGAGGTTTTTTGAAAAAATTAATTAACTATAATAAACTATAAAATAATGGAAAGTAATTTTGTCTACTAGAATAAAAAGAATTGATCAGTTTAAACATCTGCCTTCTCGAAAAGCTCCAAGATATGATTTAATTACAACACAACTATTACAAAATTTGCCCCGCGAAGGCTTACTTTAATTAACATACCTATCCAACGCTATTCTCAGGGAATATGTCCTATTGCAATGGAAGTTCTCAATAATTAAAAATATTCATAAGCCAAATAAATTTTCTGATATTCCTAGTTCTAACTATACAAGTCAAAATTCTAGACAAACTACTACGAAGATTATTGCCCATAACAGCAAATTCTAATATTGTTCCCGATCAACAGTTTGGATTCCGGTCAATTTACTCTACAGCTGCATCATGTTAGTGACAATATCGCCTTTACCCTTCAACAAAACCAGCATTGCTTGGGTGCCTTTCTTGATTTAGAACAGGCTTTCAACTGACTGGCACTCGGGTTTCCTTTGAAAACATAAAAACTTTCTCCCTCAAACGTACTATCTCATATTGAAATCACATCTGACTGACTGATTTTGTCGAGACCATCACGGTACTTAATACTCACCTTACGCATTAGAGCAAGTGTTCCTCGGGAAAACAAGCCTGGCCCATTTCTATTTTCTTTATACACTGCAGATATTCTTACACAATGTAGCCCATACATTCGTAGATGATGTAGCGATTCTTACACTAATTCGGAGTATGTTTCACAAAGTCGAGAATGAAAATAAACCTAAAGAAACGAGTACAGATAAATCTTCCATGGAAAATTGGAACCCCACTGACTACGACTGACGTGTTATCTTGGACTTTTCATGGATAAAAGACTGACTTGGATTCCCCACACAAAATTGAAAAGACAAGAAACAAACCGACATTATAAATTATTAAAAAGTCTAGTTAACTCACGATACAAATTATACATTGAAAACAAACTTTTAATTTACAAGACAATGATGAGACCTCTGTGGGGGTTGTGAGGTGTGGGGCTCAACGAAGGATTTATGTTTCAAATGTTCCTCTATAAAACAAAAATTCATCAATCACTGAACATCTGAACAAGTACAACAGTTATCACTTCCGACCCTACCCGAAAATCCTTCAAGACGATTGAGGCAAAAGTGGCAATGAGACTTCATTAAGTGAAGATAGACGAGGTTTCAAAGTGAAGGAGTGTATTCGCCGGGGGACTTCTACAAGTGACTCAGATGAGAAATTCAGCATACATGAAAATCATGTTGATCCGGCACAGTGTATTATTAAAACTTATAATTATAATATGAAAATATTTTAAATTCAGTAATTAAAGTTGTAAATGTGAAAAAAATGTAATATTAATAAAGATCAGGGAATTGTAACTTGAAAGGCTTGAAATACGTCCCGGAATTTTTCAAAGATTATTTTGTAAAAAACAAAATTCATTTTTTATACAAGTATCTAATTATAATTTGATGATGCAAATATTATTTCGGGTTATCCTTTAATCTACTGACAGAATTGGAAAAACTCAGTGGACAGTTTCAGTAAAATTGTTCACGAGTTCACTCCCAGTTAATTAAGTTGATTAATTAAAGCGTTGCCCTAGAGCCCCAGTACAATCATCACATCTGACTGTTCGTTCGCTTTGAACTAAATAATTTGATTCTGCAGAATAACCAGTTTTAAAGACATGCCCCAGCCTTCAAGCTTGCTACAAATTAAACGGAAAAAGGAAGAAAAGGCGTGGCGAAATTACATTACGATCGAATGGCAAAAGGAAGAATCAGCCACATAGCTCGTATCGTTCCATTGTTTCATATTCCTGGGCCCTTCGTCACATCTTAAATACGAGATTGTACTCTCGCAATACACAACATGAAAACTCCTAAAATGAGTTCCACAAAAAATTAGAAAAGTAATGAAAGCCACAAATATTTGTAGCAATAAAATAAATCGAAACTAAAAATATAATGTTATTTTTAGGTTTAAAAAGAATCAAGTAAATTGGTGTATTATTTTTTTTTCTCGTAGGAAGCAGCCAATTTTCTTTTAAATTTCAGTCAAAGCATTTTAAACAAGCACATTATTAGAATATTGTTGGTACTTTGTAAAAATAAATTTGCTGGGAATTTCATTTGAACATTAAACTTTTCTTTTTGTACGTGTCTCCTGACGTTCTTCCTGAAGGGCTTTGTTGGTATTTGTTAAATTTGTTAAACTCACAAATATAATCGACCGATATGTTAAACCGTTTGAATGATCTGGTGTCTAAATAATTTGTTCTCTACCTCATCACCATCATTGTTATATATCGAAATTAAGGCGATTCGGTTGTTCAAATACGTCTTAATACTTTAATAATTACAACCCAATTTTAGCGTAAATTTTTTTCCCGAAAAAATATACATTTATGAGTATCTTGAAATTCGAAATAGTCAAGCCCCATTCCCATCCCGATCTCCTGGAAAGTGAGATCCAAACATTTTGGCTCTTGAGAAACCCGACAAAAATCAAAGTTTACGTGTCTAGTAGTTTTTCTCAAAAACGCTCCAATAAAAAACAGTATAGGGTGTATAGTAGAAGTTAAACTCTCCCAGTATATTCATAAATATATTATCCCAGTATTTACATTCTGTATCCTTGCACTAAATTCTTTAGAATTTTTTTATATGTAGTATGGCTTATGTTAACTTATTGTTTACAGATAAAGTTTTTTCTTCTACCTTTCTTTTATAATACTCTTCTTAAGCTCTTTAATGCGAAACCTGTAAATTTTGTTTAGCATGTCCTCCTTCAAAATGAACAAATATCCCAATTTTACCGTTTGCATTTTTGACATTTGTACTCCGAAGTTTTAAAATATGACATCATTAGATTTCCTGGTTGTTATTCATATGTTCATATTATATTAATTTTTTTCGTAGCTATAGAAATGTTACATCTTCCAAAGTACTGACCAACTGATTGACTCAGATGTACTGAGAATGAAAGTGTGAAACTTAGGCTGCGGATAAAGTGTTTTCACGCAAATAATATTAACAGGACGTTGTTATACCAGTTTCTACTTTCTGTTGATTATTTTCATTACAAAAAGGAGTTTTATGTAAACGTAAACTAATAGATATTGTACTGCAATGAATTATTTTTATAAAACCTAATCGTCGTTTCTATACCGAATACGAAGATGTATAGAAGATATTGAATACAAGGAGAGAAGAATGCTGTTGTGAGTCGTAAATATGACAGGACCGGGGAAAACTGTTATGGAAAGAGCGCTTAAAATAATAACGGAGGACCCATCTGGGTCTAATGTGTTGGTTTAGTGGAACAACAACATATCTTCTGATTTACTAGTCATCCCACGACAATGTGATTCTGTAATAGGGTTCCGTCTTATCTACATCCTGACATGCCACGTATCCCCTTTACTGAGTCTATAATTTTTCATGGGAGGGAGAAAATAGCCTTCCGAATAAACGGTGAGATCAGCGTAAAAAAGACCGCGTGGTTATTTTCTTGGGGGTTAATTGCGTGGTTAAGTGCGAAATTGCTTCAGTCACAAACGTGGTGAAAGTACAATAATGAAACAATATTATTTCCAAAAATTTGTGAACTAGTTTGAAAGACATGACTTTAAGTAACAAAATTAAAATAAGTTCATTCATAGACACTTAGAATTGGCCAAAGGACACATATGTATCTGGAATATAGAGAAAGATGGCTCGATGTGCCCCACAAATTGAAAGATGTCGTTCTTCGGCTTCATCCACATGGAAAGCAAGAAGAAATGCCACCCGATATTAGAACTTTGAGCACAGGAGCGCGTATTTTCGCCACCCGTATTTAGATTTTCGAGTTTTATCTTATGTATATTTGACACATTTTTGGTTTTGTATTGTCATATTAAGTGCATTTATTGACGTTAGTGTGACGTTTGTGGAATATTGCAACCCATGGACCAATTAGATTATTCATATAATATGTGTAAGCGGTGATGAGGGAATACTGAGTCCTCCACCACCTGACTTGTCTAAATGGTAATTTAAAAAAAATCTCTTAAGTGAGAAAGTGAGTCTAGATTTACAAACTGTCATTGAGGCTAAAACGATATAGTTGTTGACAGGCCCTGGATTGTAGTATAATCTTAATTCTGTACATATGCGTATGAATCTGCATATATTTCCCCACTATTTTTTTCTATTTTTTTTATGGCGCTTCTGAGAAAACACAGAGACATGTAACCTTTTATTTTTTGGTTAGCTTCTCATGCCAAAATATTTAGACGTAACTCTCCAGGATTGTGAGGGCGATAATAGAAGCGCAATTATTATCAATTTCGGGATATTTTTCAATGTGCTTTCTGTAATAAATCTGTAACATTGTAGGAATAATCTTTTTAAAATGGAGGTTAAGGATACAGCCAAAACCAACAGACCTAAACTGATCAGCTAGTAGGTAATGAAAATTTTTTTGAATGCTAAGCATGATTTCAAAACATTAAAAAGAAGTTGCTTACTAAATTTTTATTGGAAAAAAGCTGCTGAAGATCTAGTTACTAGGAAAAATACAATTGAAAATACACGTTATTTTATCGAATTAATTTTTCAATTTTCTGCAAAGAAACGAATGATTATATTAGATAATAAATAAATACGTCCAATCAGAATAGAAAATTAAAAAAAGTTGATAAAGGGGTAAAACCGTTTACACCCTCAGCTAAAAAATATACGTTGTTGGAAAATAAACTTGTCGTTCTAAAAACTGCTTATGTTTAAAAATATAATTACCCTTCATTTTCATAGAAAACATGAAAAAATATTATTTATTCTGACTTTCTTCTGGGCTTACCTTATCTTTAAGTAGATCTCGCACCTTCGACGAATGTAGTTTGTACTTCTGTAGTTCTAGCTGCAAGTTGAGACACCTTCGCTCCCAATCGATTTCTTCTTCAAGTTGAGGCGATCCCGGGGGACTTCCTGACCATGAAGAACAAGAACCGAGGTCGGATAACCTGGCCAGGGGGTCCCCGAGGCCCGAGGAAGCATCTGAGAAACCGTCGTCCATTTTTTCGTCGGGGAGTAACAAAAACGTTATCAATTGATAAATGGACTTATCAATGGCATAAACATCCTCGCCGTTTCTTTTCACTCTGAAACAAAATTCGCAAATAAAAATTAACAATACAACAAAAAGTAACAAAGAGAAAATGCACCCTGAAAGAGACTAGGGATCACATATAAATGGCACAAAAGGACAATAGGGGAAATCTTCATGAAAACACAAGTTTGTAACAATTACAATCTAAGAACAAGGGAAGCACGCAGTGGAAAATGAAAGGGCGTTTGTAAGAATGGGGGGGGGTGTCTCTTTGTGATGCCAGACAGTCCCTCTCGGGACATGTTTTGTGTAAACATTGCGAAAAAGGGAAATTAGTCGTCGTCTTGGGAGTTCGGAGTTAACACGGAGTGTGTTCTGGCCTCCTGCCAAGCACAGAAGTGGCAGTTGCAACAATGTTCCCAAAATTCCTTTATCCTTAGAGAATCCTTAAGGTCGTTTAATTAACGTTGTAATACACTGAAAGGCAAAAAAAAGTGGCCGCCTTAATATCTTTAATTTTCTCTTAAACAATCCTCCCTTGATTACGCTACAACAATATATGGTCCATTTTAAAAGATTAGAAGTAAATAAAACATAAATATAATCTTCCACTTGTGTTTACAATTGTGATTTTTTAAATAAATATTTGAATAGTCAATATCTTCTTTGTTGGTTTTTCTGTAAAGCTTCTTTCTAATGTTCCGGTTTGATCTTTTTAAGTTGTACAATTTTTATGTTTCAAATTTGTTCGAGGTTTTAACTGATATAGATTTGGCTAGAAAGAACATTGTTGGAAGATGGAAGAACTCAAGCGTGTGCGGCCAGGGTACTTACATTCCCAGAACTACTGTCCGAAGGATCTTCCATCATATCTCAGATTGTTTAGAACGTACAAATCGACATTCTACCGCCGCTGAGATCGAGCAACGATTGTCACTGGTCCAAAATTTCTGACGTAATAGCTCGGTTAAGTATCGCAAGAAATCACATCATTTGGTCTGAGCAAAATTGGGTTAAAATCTTGTTTTCTGATGAGTCAAGGTTTTGTTAGAGATCTTCTGACAAAGAATTAGGAGAACAGGAGAAGCTACGGACGGTTTTATGGTTTGGCATGCATTCCTATGAGAAGACCCACTAACTTGATCTTCATGCGCGATACGCACAGCTAAAATGGTTGGTGACTACTTGGACCAATTCAATGTTTGGAGTGGCCAGGATGTCATGACTTAAACCCTATCAGACACCTTTGGGACGAATTGTAAAAAGAGGGTCCCAAAAAGGTCTCACAAGTTTTTTTTTAAATTCATTTTTTCACATCTTACATATGTTTGTACAATTGAAACAATGTTTATAAATCTCAGGCCCTGAAGGTGATCTCAATAAAGATCGAAACGTTGGCACGATAAAGAAAATGTTTTTCTAAACCTACGTCACACCAAACCGCATCTCACGATCTCCAAATAATCAACTTCATATTTTTCTTTAAAAATATCCGTCAAACAACAAAAAATAAAAAATATAAAGATTTATATATAATATTACAAGTATTACTAAAGAAAAACCTGGGTGGTCACTTTTTGCCTCTGGGTAGTTAACTGAACGCTGTATCTTGGTTTGTTGACTTGTATTTTTAACAGTGTCTCTTATGGTTAAACTATTACAACCTACGGGTTTCTCTCCGTAAAATAAATTAATTGTTTCTAAAGTGAAGAAAGTTTATGTTCGATGAAACAATAGGGAAGGAAGTGGATGTGAATTTGTTTGGGCACAATTTGAAAAGAAACCGAAAAGTGAAAGCAAACAGGAAATTAGAAGTCTGTCCCAGCAGTCGAGGCCCTTCATTTGCCACCCCCCGAGGTTCAGATGATATTTGCCGTCGTCTCATGCATGGCGGTGGCCCTTCTTTCCTTAATTTACAATTCCAAGTCAAATGAACGGCTCGACGAGGATTATTCGCACTCCACCCGGGCCGACTCTTTTTCGAAAGGAAATTGAAAATTTAAAACCGACGTGACGTCGGAGTCGAAGAGTTGAGCGTCTTGGCAGAATAAATTATTAAAATCACCAAAGCAAGCGGGAGACAATGGAGTTATTTACGTGTATATTGGTGCTGAGAGATAACACAAAACCGCTTAAAATATGGTGGGAAACATTCTATCCAGCCCGCTTTGATATTATTTCAAATCAAAGTTCAATACAATCAAGCATAGATCCGATTATCAAACGTTTTACAACATTTATATGTACAACTGAAATCTCATTCCAAGAAAATAGAGAGCTATTGGATTGATGGCTTGTAGGAATGTTGGCAAAAAATTTTCAATATACCTATATGATGTAGTGATGGTTATTTAACTATTAGATGGAAATTTACCATTACCTTTCATTTTTACAACATAATTGATTTCTCTTTTGCTAAACACACATTCACGCTCATGGATACATTCTCATAAAACAGTTAACACAGATGACATCTATAACCAACCTTTTTATCCATATTTACAATAAGATTAAATGCGATAAACAAATCTACACATACAAAAATACCCCTGATTTCTCAAGAAATCGTAACTACTTAATGATTCGTTGCAGTACTCGAGCAAAATTTTCATATCTGTTATATCATTCCTACTCACTCTGTAGGGCCAAGCAATGGCATGTTAATTAAGCGAGACGTATTGAATAACCTTCTCCGCATAGCACATACGTGGATTTTGGTGCAATGTCGGTCAACAATCCTTACGACGGGTAAGGATGAGTCATTCCTTCTTCTATGGTTTAATCTGGTTTGGGATGTTATTGGGTATGTGGTCCTTCAATGAATCATACACTGCATTATACAGTTGCCTACTGATTCATTGGAGGATCACATACCCAATAACATTCCAAACCAGATTATAATTAAAGTTGGTCGATAACTGAACAACCTCGTTCTATGGTTTAGACCAACTGCAGACAACTATCGACCGTGCTATTGACGCCCAAGAGCCTCTCGGACGACCCAGTGAAGAATGTTTTCAAATGTGGATAACGATTGATTGTATGAAATTAAGAAATATTTATTTTTCAACTATCCATCACGTAAAATATTTCATTTAATACTATATATTATTTTATAGGAACTAGATTCTTTCTTTCTTCTAGTATGATGTAGATTTTGTCAAACATTTCAGATAATCATTGGAGGATTATCTTCCCTTAAGGTCTAAAATTTAATGGCAGTCACTTTTTTGGCCTCCCAGTGTATATACCAAGATGAGGTCCGTGCTATTACCTAATTCTGTGCATAAGGGTCGATAGAGAAGAAAATGAAAGGTGTACGGATCAACATTTGGACAGTCAGGCAGCAATATAGGCACTAAATGCGCATTCTTTTAGCTCCAAACCTGTTTTGGGAATGTGTGACAATAAGGCATCGCCTTAGAAATACCGAAAGCACCGAGGAAGTGCTAATTGTAATTAGAAAAGGCGCACTAACCACGATTTGGTCTTAATTAGACGGATGTGAAGGTGTATATAATATCAACACTTAAATATTGTGGATACTTAAAAAATAATTTTTGGTCAAGAGAATCAATACTATAATGAATATTTGTCAGAAATTCACTCAGCATATTTATTTGATCTAATGTACATTTATAAAGGGTGTCCCAGTTCCTTCTGACGACACTCAGGGAATCGATTCTACTCTTCGTTTGGAGCAAAAAATGCTCAGGAGAAAATTTTCGGAANTAACCGTTTTTATGTGCTAAGGTAGTGAAAAGTTGAAAAAACCTAAATTGACGAATATCTTCAAAATAGAGAACTTTCCGAAAATTTTCTCCTGAGCATTTTTCGCTCCAAACGAAGAGTAGAATCGATTCCCTGAGTTTCGTCAGAAGGAACTGGGACACCCAGTATTTCGTTGGTAGAGAGAATCGATTCAGTTATATGTTAAAAATTAGTATTTGGAGGCCGTGAGATGCGGTCTGACGTAACGTAGGTTTTGGGCACTCTCAACACGACAGACAAGAATAACACATCTACACGGAAAACTAACACTTTGAGCCCTGAAGATGATCTCAATAAAGATCGAAACGTTGGTACGATAAAGAAAATGTTTTTCTAAAACCTATGTCACACCAGAACCAAATAATCATTAAGTAACGGTCACTAAACACCACATATATATGTTAAAAGTTAACCGAAGTGATTGTCGATTTGTTTTCAAAAGTAAATTATCGTGGACGATGAGGAAAATGTATATTTAGTAGAAATGATTGATAAAACCTGAACTGGAAATGATTGCATGGCAGTTTTAATTGAAACAGTCTGAAGGGTTGGTCTGGGGTCTGATATGCCTGTTGGAGGCAGGTGTCAATTTAAACTTTCCTCTCTACCAATTCTCCTTAGAGGAAAACTGAATTTTCCGCTTGAGTAAGTTTTTCGTATTTTCATGAGCATATATTCTTGCCTTAATACAGAACGAGTGATTCGATTGAAATGGTGATATTCAAAGTGGATTTATTTATCTTTCTCTCTTTTTTTGTTTTGTTTCCGTTCCGAAAAAGGACATTTGAAACATAAATTGTGATCCTTGTCTGCTCCTTCATTTGCGCAATCGTTCCCCTGTGTATTCAAGGTTGTAATAACTCTCCGTAATATATCGGTGCTGGTTGCATTTGCAATGCCGTCAGTCCCAAAAGGGCTCTACGGTAAATGGCCTTTCCTCGTATCAATCCCGTTCAACTTGAAAAATCTAACCCCAGCCGGTAAAAATTAACATTTTTAGCGATCCTTAAGCGAGCGGAGTACACTTTCTGAATTAACATTTTACTACCCTACCTCGTTTCGAGTTTACCGCTTACGGTTATTGGGCCGTCTCAAGAATTCTTTAATGGAAAAATAGTATTTATATGTAAATTATTGTTCATATCATGAAGATGGTACAAGTCGTTAGATGAAAGAGATAAAAGTTGTACACTTAAATTAGTTGTAATCTGTTGCACCTGCCCTTATTTGCAATTTTACCCATAATTTATCAGACGGACAGCAAATAGCCTCAGTGCATTG